ACTGCCCCTGAACCTCTGGCCTGTACCCCAGTTCTGTATGCAAAAATAAATAAATCTTAAAAATATATATATATAGAAGCAAACACTGAGATACAGGAGCCCTATGAATTGACTTTCTGCACCTGGGTCTCAAAAGGGGGAGAATGAAGGATTTGCTTATAATTCACAGCTAATTTATATGGATACATGGGGTGACTCTTCCCTTTAATACATTTCATGGTATAGAATGATAGATCAGAGTAACCTCCAGTTACAATTCATTGACATTATAAGAATTTGAATATGACATCATTGAAAGAACTATAATTTGATAATATATTAAATAGAATTGAATATAATGTAATTTCCTTGTTTTAATATCTATGTTAAAATTTATTTGCAGTTCCCTCAGGAATTAGCGACAATTTCAGATGTCTCCTCTCTTTGACTTCCAGCTCTTATTGGAAATTTACAGCAATACTTGCCAATGTCTTTGCATCACAGATTGTTCCTCCTGGGACTTACAATTTGCTCAAGCTCTGTTTGCTGATGAGTCTAGTACAGATAAGTGACTGTAACAAGGAACTGAAAAATTGCCTAGATATTTTGATTATAACAAGTGACACTCTTCTTATAGACAGGTAAAATATGTGACTTAAATTTTTTAAATAATGGTTTATTTTCACATCATTTTGTGCCTTTTTCATCTCAGTTGTAATCTCTGTGGGTTTCCCATCACCATATCACCCATGTGCCATTACCATAGTCCAGTGCACTTCCCTCCCCCCACCATTTTTTATCTCATTCCCCACTATACACCCATAAAATGTCTCTGGTATATAGTTGTTCATTATTATTTTTTTTCCCCCTGATCCATTATGCTCCTGCTATGAGTGAAACCATCCAGTATTTTTCTTTTTCTTTCTGGATTATTTCACTAAGCATGATCTCTTCCAGTTCCATCCATGTTGCTGCAAAAGGCATGAGTTTAGCTTTTTGAATGCTGAGTAATATTCCACTGTGTATATGTACCACATCTTTTTAATCCAGTCATCTACTTTTGGGCATTTGGGTTAATTCCATATCTTTCCTATTGTAAATAAAGCAGCAATAAACATGGGGTGCAGGTGTCTTTTTGAAACAGTGGAATTTTTTAGAATTATAAACTGGTCACAGATTTGTATACTCTTTCCATGATTATTATCACAAGTTGAATATTTAGAATTTATCAGAGCATTATAATATATAACAAATAAACTGTTATCACTTGAGTAAAAAACTTTTTAAAGAATTAATTGAAAAATGGGAATTTGGGCCCTCCCTAGTGGCTCAGCAGTTAAAGTACAGCACGAGTTCCATCCCCAGTCAGGGAGGTGACCCACATGGTGCCACAGACCTCTCATGATGCACCCACTGCTCCCCTCAGACTGAAGAGTCTGCCTGTTCCTCTCCCTACTCTGTCTCTGGTTTACCTTCTCAATGCCCTCAAACCTCTAGCCTGTACCCTAGTCTGAATGCATAAATAAATAAATCTTTAAAAGAAAAATGAGATATTTTGCCTTCAGTATTTTGAGAATCTGACCATTTAGAGATTCACCATTCACCATTCAGACCTTTTCAAATAAATGCATCTTTTTCAATATTCCTTTCTCCCATTTTCTGTCTCAGCATTCTGCTTTTGTACTGTTTTCATTTTTAAATAACCCTCCTTCTCCACCCCCATGAAAAAGCCTACCAGCCATTTTCTTATTTTTCTTCAGGATTTCATTTAGTAATATTGATTCATTTTCTCAAATAAGAAAAAGTTTCAAAATTGCAGTTCTGGATTTTCACCTTAACCTTGAATTAACCTCTGTTTAGCATTTTTGGGCTCCCCACTAGCAGGTACATTTATGTATGTGTGTATATATATATGTATTTACTTATTTGAAAGAATTTGAATAGGATTAGTGTATCTAAGAAGAGAAAGGAGAATAGCTTTGCAATGAAACACTCAAAGTTATCCATCCCCTCATGGGTAAATGCTAGCCAAACAGGCCTGGCCTAAAGTGGAGCCACTGAGGCTCAAAAACATGCTACAAGTCTAAGGCCAGACAAGTCTGGGACCAAATGAGCAAAATCAAAGTTCAGCTCAAGATGGTGGCTACTATTGTCAGCCACCCCAGGTGTCTCTCACCCACATGTCTTCTAAAAGTCTCTGTAGGTCTGGACTCCATATGACTTCTCCAAGTCTTACAAGTCCAAAGCTGAGAAGCAATTGGGTCCTTTTTCTTCACATTTCTCCCTATATTGTTTTCCCCATATGTATCTTTTGTTAAAAGTTATTTATTGTTCACAAAGTTAGGTGTAAGATTCTTATATAAATATCTTGTGTAAAGCAGGAACAAATTTACAGAATGAATTTAAATAGAAAAATTCAAATTCAAATTAACTTAATTGGACAGATGTTTTACCAAAATTAAATTGCAATGTAAAAATGGTGCTAACTGCTACAGATTGCACAAATTTATTCTTCCAGCAATGAGCATGAGAGTATTTCCTCACAGCCTCACAGATACTAGGTATCATAAAACTTTGAAATTTTGTCATTTGGTGGGTGGAAAATAATATTTTAATTTGATTTATTTTATCAGAAGTGAGCTTTAATACAATTTGAGCTTGTTAAGCACTTATTATTTTTCAATAAACTTCCTATTCTTTACTGATATCCATTTTTCTTTTAAGTTGTTTATTGCAAGGCCTTTGTTTCTTCCTGTTTTTCGTAAATCTTACTTTTTCTGTGGCTTTAGGTATGTGTGAAATATTTAGCTTGTTTTATTTTGTTTTTAAGGTAAAATTTGCATATGTTGAAATAATCAGATCTTAAGTTACAATTTGATGAGTTTGATACAAAACATTTCTATCACTCCAGAAAGTTAGTTTAGTCCTTCCAGTCCATTCCTGTCTCCTCCAGGTGATTTTTGTCACTCTAAATTAATTTTCTGGTTTTGAACTTCATATAAATGGAATCAGGCCATGTATACTATTTTGTATTTTGAAATTTACTTGGTTACGTGCATCAATAGTTCATTGTTTTTATTGATGAGTAGCATTCCATGATAAGAATATACCAAAATGTCTATCTATCCTCCTAATCAAATTTTGCATATTTTGACTATTACAAATCAGGTGTTGTAAATATTCTTGTATTAGTCTTTTCATGAACATGTGTCTTCATTATCTTGGTGAATAACCAGAAGTGGAATTGCTGTCATAAGGTATATGTACATTTAGCTTTATAGGACACTGTCAGTTTTCCAAGTGCCATTTTACTTTCCTACCAATGATGTAAGGGTTCCAGTTGTTTCTATATTACGAACATCTGGTATGGTCAGTCTTTCTCAACTTAACCATTCTAGTATATGTAAAGTGTAATCTTTTTATGGTTTTAATTTGCATCTCCCTGATGACTAAGTGGTTTGGGGCTCTTTTTCAAGTGCTTATTGACTACTCATATTTTTTTTAAGATTTATTTATTTATGTATACAGAACTTTTTCAAGTGCTTATTGGCTGCTCATTTTTCTTTTTTTATTTTAAGATTTATTTATTTATGCATACAGAACTGGGGTACAGGCCAGAGGTGCAGGGGTGGTGAGAGGATTCACCAGAGACAGAGTGGGGAGCAGAAGAGGCAGACTGCAGGCAGCGGGCGGGTCAGGAGAGGTCTGCTGCACCATGTGGATCACCTCTGGGGTTGGGGGTCGAGCTCATGCTAAAGTGTCTTTAGCTTCTTAGTGCTGTGCTTTGACCCACTGTGCCACCAGAGAGGGCCTCAATGCATTTTTTAAGCTTTTAGCTTGTCTTTGTCTATTGAAGTTAATTTTTGTATGTGATATGAATTAAGAGTCAAAGTTAATGTTTCCTCTGCACTTGTCTGATTTTCCCACATCATTTGTTGAAAATACTTTTCTTTGTCCATTGTATTTCTTGTTATCGTTGATAAATCAATTACCTAGATATAAACTAGTTATGAAATTGAAGTGGGTGTAAATTTTGACTCTCTTTGCAGTTATATCCCCTTATTTGATTACAATTATGCCACATCACACTTTCTTGATTGTTGTTTTGAATCAGGTGGTACAACTTTATTTTCAAGATTTTTTCCACTATTTTAGATCCTTTTCATTTTCTTATAAAGCTTAGAATCCACATATATTAATGCCACCCTTCTCTACCACAACCAACTCCCACCAAAAAATCGAAAAAGAAAACATCTTTAAGGATTTTGATTTGAACTGCATTTAACATAGTCAATTTAAGGGGAAATTTGCATTTTACCATATTGAATCTTCCAATCCATGAATATGATATTTATCACCATTTATGTAGAACTTCCTTTATTTCTCAGCAATGTTTTGTGAAGATCATGCATATATTTTTAAAAATATTTATTTATTTATGCATACAGAACTGGGATAGAGGTCACAGGTGCAGGGCAGTGAGAGGATGCATTAGAGACAGAATGGGGAGTAGAACAGGCAGATTGACAAAGTACACGGCTGCGGGCGAGACATGAAAGTTCTGCCTTGCCATGTGGATCACCACTAGGGTTGGGACTCCAACTCACACTGAAGCAGCTATGGCTAGCTTGCAGTGCTGTGCTTTAACCTGCTGCACCACCAGGGAGGGCCCTGATCATGCATGTATTTTAAATTGATTTCTGTTTTCTACTTTTGATGCTATAAAAATGGTAGCATTTTATTTTTTACATATTTGCTGTGAATACATAAAAAGGAAATTTATTTTTCATGGTTTTACATTGTATTCTGTAACCTTATAATAGTTTTTTAACATTCCTTCGCTTATTTCAATATGCAGCCACCCTTGAAACCCATTGTCCTGTATAACTAGGTTCTCAGTTAGGAATTACATGGGTAACTTAAAAAATATATTTGTCACTGTGTCACACTCTAAAGATTCTAATTTACATGATGTGAGATGGGGCTTGGCATTGGGAGTCTTAAAAATTTCTCAGATGATCTTAATATAGGCTATAATTAAGAGACCATGTAATATAGGCTCACAAACATTTCTCTGTAAACACTCTTCCCTTTTATTTATCTTCAAACCAATATTTAAAACCCTTGGAACAGCACATACATATTTTTAGCATCTCCCTAACCACATGGTCTGTCTACCTCTGCACTCTCTTTTGTACTGCATGTCTCCAACTGCTTATCATAGTTGACTGAACCACCAAGCCATGATTTCTGTGGCAAGGGTTTGAAAGCTAAGCTAAGAGAATCATATTCTCTTTTGAAAATGTAAAGTTGAGACATGAACAGACTGAGGCAATTGGTGGAGAGACTAGAAAGCAAAAGGATATATTAAGACTTACCATGGTACATAGGCAACAAGGTAGTTATGATGGGCCTTGGGCAAAACTAAACACAAAATTTCTGAATAAACAAAAGAAAGCATTCCATAAAAAGAGAGAGGGAGAGAGAGAACAGACCAATTCAAATGCCATCTCTTTGAGTTTTCTCTGACTTCGTTTCAGGAAGAGCTGATATCCTTATCAAGATTTTGCAGACATACATTATTTTTTTT